TCTCTCTCTCTCTCTCTCTCTCTCCCTCTCTCTCTCTTTCTCTCTCCCTCTCTCTCCGCCCCACGCCTTCCTCCTTTTCTTCTTTTCTTTCCAGTCTTTTGTATTCTTTGTAAAGATCAGTGGGTTTCATTTTGGCAGATTCGCGCTTCCTCTAATGTAACTTTTCCCCTCTTTCTCTGCCTTGCCCCTAGTTTCCGTTTCTTGGGGGTTTGACTGTGTTAAATGTATTTGAGCGTGGCCACCCCCATTTCCCACCCTTGCACCCTCCCCCTCCTTCTTGCTCCCTTCCTCCTGCCTAATAATAGCCTCCCTTCCACTTTTTTGTCATTTCTTTTAGATTCCACCTATCAGGGAGGACATGTGAGATTTGTCTTTCTGAGCTTGGCTTGTTTTGCTCAACAATAATTGTGTCCCGATCCACCCATTGTCCTGCAGATGACAGGAGTTTGTTCTTCCTATGGCTGAACAATATTCTGTTGTGTAGCGTGTGGTACACAGAGCATGCTTGCTTTATCCATTCATTCGGTCCTTCTCAAGGGTCTTGACATAGCAGGGAAATTTCCCCTCTGAAAATTTTGAGGGAAAACATTTTTTAATGAGTTGCCTTTCGGTTTTGCTCATGATGGTTTTTACCATGGAAATTTTTTTTTTTCTTTTGAAACGTTGACCTAGTCACATGGATCAGCTTTTCTTTTGTGGTTTTGGGTGTATAGTAAACTTAGGCCCCTCTCTGCCTCACGGCTCTTTTTTTAAAATAACAGCTGAGATGTTATCCACAGGCCTCCCAGCTTGCCCATGCATTCGGGAGCGGGTGAGTTTAAGTGGCCCTGTGGACTTGCGCTGCCCCTGGGCAGCTGCGCCCCCACATCCCCCTCCACCCTGTGGAATCTGCTTCCTGCCTGAGGGTCTGCGCTCTGGAGGGCTCCTGTAGCTGGAGTCCCAGCGGAGCTTCTGGCTGTGAAGCCAGCCCCGTGTCCAGAAGCTGGCTGCTTCCATTTCACTGTTGAACAGCTGCCCTGGGGGTTCACAACTGGTCTCCTTTTGCTGGAATGAAGTGGACTTGCTGGGAGCCCTGTGAACTCTGACTTCCAAGCTGTTCTGGGCCTGCGTCACCAGGAACCCCTGCTCTGCAGCCTGCGTCCTCTGTACCCTGCTCTCTGGCTGTGACTGTGCACATCCTGGTGGGTCCACAGTGGTGGTCACTGCTGTCTGATCCGCAGTTCCCTGAAGGCAGTGGTGATGAGGATCTTTTTATTCTTTCTTCCTTTGTTTTTGCTTGTTTGTTTGTTTTCATTGGGTTTGTTTGTTTTGAGATAGGGCCTTGTTATATGTAGTCCAGACTGTCTTTTGAACTTGGGGTCTTCCTGCCTCAGCCTCCTGAGTAGCTGGGATGACAGATGTGTACCATCACGCTTCTGGTCCCAGTGCTATTTATTGGTGAACTGTGAAAAATACATAGTCTAATAAGGAGGTCGTGCTTTTCCATCTTTGTTGGGGCTTCTTCTGCTTCTTTCAACAGCCTACAACATTCTTCTCCACAGAAACTCTGGCTGCCTCTTAGGTATTCTTCCAGTTGTCATGCGTAGGAATCACTGGTATCTGTCACATCTCCCTGAAGGACTGAAGTTTCATATAGAAAAGCTGTGGGTGTCAGAATCCGTCTGGCGCCACCCTCTCCTGGGTGGACTTGCTGCGTAGGATTTCTTTTATTTGGCTTCTGTGGTCCCTGATCCTGTGACCACCACCTCCTCAGAGCACAGAGATCCTGGAGTACAGGATCTCTCTTGAGTGAACCTGGCAGGGGTCTTCCAGGAGAGGCCTGTGTCAGCCTCAGCCCCAGACACCAGAGCAGCCGGTGTGTGAGGCCTGGTGCTCTCTGGCCCTGCCTGGGCGTCCAGATATGGCGCACCTCTGCACACAGCCAAGCTGGGGTCTCTAATATGGAACAGCCTTGGGCTCACGCCTGCTGTGTCCCCTGCCCAGAACCACTTTGGCATGGTCAACCTCCCTGCCTCAGGGGCCTCTCTGATGGGCCTCCATGCCCTCACGGCTTTCACTCTTGGCTTTGTCCTGCTGGGTTTGGGTGCTGTCTTTTGGCCCTCTCTGAACTTACCCTGTGCCTACTGCCTGAGCTGGGCTTGGACATGAGAATATGTCTGAACTCTGTGAGGCAGCGATGGGTGGCTCAGACTAGGGCAGGCTCTTCAGGACACCAATCTGATCTTGGGCCACAGAAAGCACGTGGTATTGGGCAGAGCTCAGTGGCATTGGGGGGGGGCTCTCCTGTCAGCCACCACGGTCATAGGACATGGGGCTCCTTTTAGAGGGCTCCTTCCATATGCCTTGTTCCTCCCTGCTCACTCAGAAATGGAGTCTGGGTCCAGGAGGGCTCTGGGGGTCCCTCCCAGCACTGCCCTAGCCCTCAGTGCCCTGAGCCTGGGCCCCCCAACCCCTCAGCAGCCGACCCTGTCCCCAGAACTGGGGCTCCCTGCACTCTGACCCGGTCCCCTCTCTTGCAGTTCATGGCCTCCCATGGGAATGAAGCTGCCAGGGCCACATTTGAGTCCAAAGTGCCGTCTTTCTACTATCGGCCCACATCTTCCGACTGCCAGTGAGTACAGAGGAGCTTTGTGGGGTCACTGTGAACAGTGCTGGGAGGACCTGGTGGCAGGCGGAGGCAACAGCCCGGAGTCTTAGGAGGACAGCCGTGGCCCTGGGATGCCATTCGCATCCTCCATGTGCCTTTGGGTTCTGTGTGTTCTGTGTGGCGGATGCCAGAGGGCTCCAGCCAACCTAGGGACAGTGGGCTCCGTGGGGGACTATGGAGAGTCTCAGAGTTCTCCTGGGTGCCCCCTGGTGGCCTGAAAGGAGGAGGTGAGACTGCTATCTGGTCCCGGGGCCCCTAGCTCTGTGGAGAATGACCCTGGGTATTCCTGTCTGAGGCCCTTGGTGCCCAGAGGTTGCAGGAAAGAGGGAAGGCCAATTTGGACCCTGGAACTCCACCCCCTCCCTGATCCTCAGTGGCCACTGGCCAGGCACAGCTCTGATGGCACTGTGTCCTCTCATCCACACAGGGCAGGGTGAGAGCGAAGGCTCTGGGCCACCTGGCCTCTGCCCTCAGTCCTCTGCCTGCCTGGGTCACCCTGTCTCACACTCCCTGAGCTTTCCTGCACTCTCCAACCTTGGCTGGACTGTTCCTGCTGCCTAGAACAGCTCCCCACTCTGCCCTGTGTGTGGCCTTGGGCCCCGAGACCCTTCCTCCCTGAGTGCACCCCTTTCTGGCTTCTCCTGTCACTGTTCCCTGTGGCTGGGGGCCCTTGGTTATCTGACTTCTGGGTGCCTATATGAGGTGTCGGGTGAGGGTGCTGGGGCTGCAGTTGCCATGGGTGCCACCTATGTCAGGTACAGAACAGGAAGGAACATTGCCATTGGACCACTGGATCCTTCAGTGGTCTGAGTTCCCTGAGGACTCTTCCCACACCCATGGCCACTGCTAGGGCCTGGCTTCCTCTTTTCCTGCTTCAGCCTCCATCCCTGGGCTCATTCTCGCATCCCATCCATGCCTTGTCCCTCCCTTCCCCAGCTTTCCCTAATAGACACTCATGTCCTTGTGTCCTTCTGTCTTCTCAAAGCAGGGGTTCCCAGGGCTGGCCAGAGCTCCCCGCCCCCAACTGGCCAGCATCCTCTGCTGCTTAGCCAAAGAATGGGCTTATCTGCTCAGCATAGCCCTTGTGGTGCTCCCAGGGCCCACAGGAGTTGAACGCACCTTCTAGAGGACATGGGACCCCAGCCCAAGGTCCAACTCTGAGGCTAGGCATGGACCACCCAAAGAAGGCCAATGGGTGCTTGACAGGCAGTGGCATGGCCCTCAGCCCCTGAATGGCTGGGTGAGTCCCACAACTCCCTGGTCTTTTTCTTGGAAATGGGGTAAGTAGACACCCCTCCAGGTATGGGTGAGAGGCCACACTCCAGGGCCCCCAGCACCTCCTTCCCAGGCACAGCTTCCAGCCACACCCTGGCCCTACCCAGCCTGTGTGTGTTCAGTGCTATTCCTTGGTTGACTCACTCTGTGACCCCAAGCTCTGTGGGACCCCACCCACAGTGATACCTGCCAAACCAGGACGGGCACAGTGCTGTGTCTGTTGAGTATTGTGTCTTGCTGGGTACTCTGGAATAGTACTATCTAATGGGTACTGTTTTCCTTTTTGTATGGTACTGTGTTTATTTGGCACTGTGTCCTGCTAGGCTCAGAACTGTGTCCTGCTGGGTACTGTGTCTACTGGGTACTTGTCCCCTGGGGTATAGTACTGTGTCCACAGATACCATGTCAGAGTAGGATTTCATGTCTGCCTCCAGGTGCCCAAGAAAATAGCCCACTCCACACAGAAAGGCTCTGCGGGTGCTATCCTACCCCTTACCTGCGCTCTGCCAGCCTGGGCCTTGCCCATTCTGTCCCTGCTCAGCTGTTGGAGGGTTAAGGTTCCCCTGGGCCACTGATGGCTTCTCTGTTAGGGTCCCTTGGGGTCTGGCTTCAGGATGGCGAGCTCCCTAAGCAGGGCTGGCCAGCAGGGGGCTGTCACTGGTGTGCAGCTAGCCTGGGGGTTATGGCCTCCACACAGGGAGAGGGGCTGCTGTGTGCAGTCTCTAACTTGGCTTGGTTCTCTGGGTGAGTGTTTGGTCTTTTCTGGTGACAGTCACCATGTGCCAGGCCCTGCCAAGCTCTTGGCAGGGAGGCTTGCTCTGCTCCAGCCAGCCCTGCTTTATGGGAGGGGAGGCTGAGACCCTGGCTCACACCCTACCTCTGAGGACACCCCTCACCTCACCACCCACATCTCCAGGGCCCCATCCCAAGTCCCTGGACAGCACCTCGGCCTTCTCTCTCCTCAGCCTCTCACACAGCTCTCAGTATGAGTCAGGGTGCTGGCTGCATGGCTGCGCAGCTATTTTGGGGCATGATTTTGTCACCACCCTGCAGGCCACTCTGCAGCCGGGTTGTCTGCATGAGTGCTCCTTGTACTTCCTGGCTCAAGCAAGGCAGAGTGCACAGCAGGCAGGAGGACAGAGCCCTTGTGGCGCAAGTTCCTGCGTAATCTGGGAGTGCTGTGCAGTGCTGGGAGGTGGAGGACAGTCGTGCTGTGGCAGCTGTAGCGTGTACACGGTGCGGGGACGTTGACCACAGAGTTGTAGGAGTGACAGTAGGAGGGAGCCCTGCAACTCTGTGGTAACATGAAACTGGAAACCCAGAGTGCAAGTGCTGTGCACACCACAGAGCACTGAGGGCTCCTAGGGCAGTGCAGATGGCTGGTGCCGTCGGCGAGGGAGTGCAGGCTCCAGGCTTCAGCCAGTGTTGGTGCCTCAGCGGCCAGGGAAGAGGCTGCTGGACCCCAGCTTGGGGACCTGCTCAGAGCCAGGGCCCAGGGCAGGTACTTGGCCCTGTCATCTCTTCCAGCTGTGGTCTGCACAGGGCAGGATGCACATGGCAGCAGCTATGGCAGTCATGTCCCCCGTCCAGCCCTCCACACTGGCCACAGTGGGCTTAGTGAGAAGAGCTCTGTGCTAGGCAGCAGACCCCAGGTGGCCCATTCCCTGCCAGCGTGCTGGGGGTAGGGATGTCCCAAGCATTCTTCTCTCTGCCCTGGAGCCCATGACACCCCAGGCCAGGGTTGGAGGTGGCAGGTCCATCAGTGTCTGATGGCATCTTTGTTGGTGTCCAGAGAAGAGCCAGTTCTGGGAAGCCCTGGTGCCAGCCCCTCTACTCTGTTTTCTAGGGTCCACGGAGCATGCTCCATGAAGGACTGGTGCTGTGCCTGCCTCCTGAGGCCTCAGTTTCCCCAGTTTCAAGATGGGGAGGATGCCCTGCTATAGGGTAGTCTGTGGGATAGCCCGTCCCACCTTCCTGCAGCTGGGCAGTGGGTGGTGGTGGCCATGGGGTCCTCACTCCATGTAACCCTTAGCAGCTGGAAAGCCAGGACTCTGAGGTGCCAGCCCCAGGCTCTTCCTGTGTGGTTCTCCCCCTGGGGTTCCTGTCTCCTCTCGGGTGGAGAACTTCCCAGCACAACTCTGCTCAATGCGACTTCTGGGTGGAGCTCGCCTGCTTCCTGTGAGACGCAGCCATGGGTGCTGGGCCCCTGGCTCCCCTATAGGTGAAAGGATCTTGTGGGACTGGACAGCCTCAGTACCAGCTTTCTGGAGCCACTGTACCAAAGCACCGCAAACTAAGCTGCAGAAATGAGTCCAACAGGAATTTTCCCCACAGCCCAGGCAGTTGCTGTCCTGGTCAGGCCAGGTCAGGCTGGCCCCTCCTGCGTCCCCAGCTCACAGTGGCCACCTCTCTGTATCTGGCCCATTCCCATTTGTGAGAGCATGGCTCATACAGGCCTGGTGGTCCACAGCGATGCCTGTGTCTTCAGTCATCAGTCAGCAGTCCCCTGCTTCCCAAGGCCACACTGTGAGGACCTGGGGATAGGGCTCCTGTTCAGGACTTGGGGATGGGGAACAGGATTCAGATAGTAGTGGCTCCAGGGGTCCCTGGTGACAGAGCAGGAGACTTGGGAATTTTGAGCTGGACTGGTGGAGATGGATGCTGCAGGGACATGCTTTCCCAAAAGAAAGGGAAGAACAGGCCGCCTCGGTGGGTTTCCCAGAGTGGAGGAGGTCACATTCTTTTTTCTTTCCCTTCCTCCCTTGCTTTTCTTTTTCTGTGCTATTGAGGATTGACCCTTTGCACTGAGCTATATCTCCAGTGCTTTTTTATTTTGAGACAGAGTCTTTTTTTTTTTTTTTTTTTTTTTCAGTATTTTCTTTTTTGGTACTAAGAATCGAACTCTGGGCCTTGTGCTTGGTAGGCAGGTGCTGCGCTGCTGAGCTACATCCCCAGCCTGAGACAGAGTCTTACTAAGTTGCTCAGTTGCCCAGCCTGGGCTTGAACTTATGGTCCTTCTGCCTTAGCAGCCAAAGTGCTGGCATGGGGTCACTTTCTTAAGAGGCAAAACTTGGCCTTCCCATTTTCTATGACAATGTCCTTCAGCAGAAGCCAGCAGAGGGGAGGGGAGCTGATGTTCATGAAGAAAGTGGGGTGTTGCCCCTTTCCATGGGCACAGAAGCCGAGGTATGTAGGGGCCACCAGGGCCACCCAGAAGATGTGGAGGCAGGTGGGGCCAATACTGGGCATATGAGGAAGGGCTGCCTGGGGACAGTGGTGGCTGGTGAGCACTGGGGGACATCTGATCCTAAAGACGTGGCCACAACAAGCACCTGCCTAGTCCTCTGTGCCCAGCTCACTGGGGTGGGGAGGGGCGGTCTGGCTACCTGATTCTCAGGATATAGGCTGGCCCCAAGGAGTGGCTAGGCAGGGGCCTTTGGAGCCTCCAGATAGGTTTCCATCCTGGCCACTGGTATACTGTGCCCACTTCATCCCCGTCACAGAGGGTGCTGCCTGTGGAGGCATAAGGGTGCCCATCAGCATGGCCTTCCTGATGCAGGGGGCCTCAGGGCAGGGCAGGGCCCAGGCTGAGGCAGGCCCCGTCACCTGGCCATATCTGGGTGAGCCTAGAGACCAGGGTAGTAGTGTGGAGACTACAACCCCTACAGCATGGGCCCCCAGTCACAAGGGGCCAGGTATCTCATATCCAGGTTGCAGATAGAACCTGGGGTGTGATGTTGAACCTCACACTGGGAAGCAGCGTCTGCGGTGTGGTAACCAGGCTGAGGACAGGTCTGGGAACAGGGTGCTCCCACCCCCACAGCTGGTGATTTCCTAAGAGAGAAGGAGCTTCTGAGAGACATACACGGCAGGGAGGGGGACACGCTATCTGAGGCAGGGAGAGCTCCCGACAATGGAGTGGCCACTGGTGACTCTTGGAGACCCTCCAGAGATCTGGCCTGACTCCTCACCCCAACTCAACCTCTAGACAGGGCAGCATGCATCTCTGTTGCCTCAAGTTTCTCATTGGCATTATTGGCAGGGCCTTTATCCTCACCCTCTGAGCTGAAGGACCTGGGGGCCTCACAAACCTGGGTTGTGTCCCTGTTTTGAGGCTGACCACACAGGCCTGGTGTGAAGCCAGAGGTTCTCTATTCATCCTGTTCTGAGTAGTTGACCGGGAACAGAAAAGCCCTAGCTGAGAATGGGGCCACAGAGGGCCTTTTTGGGGGCAGTTGCCCTGTCTATAGTTATGATCTGACTTTCTGTGCATCAGGAGCAGCGAGGTCACAGTGGATCTAGGGACAAAGCCTAGGCTGCAGTGTGCTCAACCAGTACTTCTTTTTGGGGCCCCAGGATTGGCGTGACTTTGGCTGCCTTGTGTCCTGAGGGCCCCCTTTGACTCAAGGGGACCTGGGACATTTCCAAGTCTGACCAGCAGGCTTGGGGGAAGCACATCCCACACTCCTGGGGAGGGGGTGGTCCTCTAGGCTGAGGGGGACAGGAGACTGAGCCAAGAAGCTGCCCTCAGAAAGGCTGAAGGATAGTGCCTGGAGCTGAGATCTGAGGGGCGAGTTGTGGGCCTATGACACATTGTGGACTGTGGGGGTCTGTGGAGCCAAGGTCATGGCAGGGGGCCTCCCTTGTCAGGGCTCTCAGCCCAGCTTGGGGAGAGGAAGCCCAGGGTAGATGCTGAGGCCCAGGATGGGCAGCAGAATGGGGCAGGCAGATGAAGCTGGGCTCAGGTGGTAACACATTCCCCAAGAACTGCATGGCGGTGGAAGGTCCTCACAGCTGCTGGTGGTTCTGGGTAGCAGGGGTACAGGGAGACAGCTCCTGAGGAAACAGACTTGGGGAAGGAGCCAGGATGTCTCCTGGGTATGGCCAGAAGCCGACCCCTCCTCTCTCCCTAGGCTCCTGCGAGAGCAGTGGGTCCGCGCCAAGTACGAGCGGCAGGAGTTCATCCTCCTTGAGAAGCAAGAACCCTACTCTGCAGGTGAGCTTGGGGCGCTGTCCCCACCCCTCATGGAGGGTCCTTCCATCAGCCAGTCAGAGCCTGGGTGCCCTGACTCAACCCCCACCCAATGCCCCTGGAGCTGAGTCCCCTCCCTGTTGGTACTGGTGGCCCCAAGCCTGAGGCTGCCCCCAGCCTGGGTGGGAGCACAAAGGCTCAGCACCCTGCCATGCAGGGGTACAGCTGCCTGTTGGGTACCACTGGGGCCCCTGGGGCGCTGGAGCTTTTGTGGAGCTATGGAGAAGACATCTTGGGGCACAGAGGCCCCTGGGGTTCCTTGGAGACCAGGCCCACACCCTCAGCCTCAGTCTCCCAGAGTGCTCAGTAGTCTGGGCCTGTGAACAGTCTGTATCTCTCATTAAGATTCTGGTACCCAGTGAATCTCAGCCTGCTGGACTAGGGGCTGTGTCTCTTCCTCCCCAGAGCTTGGGAGGCCGCACTGTCCACAGAGTCACCAGGAGGCCCTGCTGCTGGCCTGCACCGTGGCTATCCTGCCCAGGCCCAGGTGGCAGAGCTCAAGCCTCAGAGGCAGCTGCTCTGCCCTGCTTCTGTGGGCCCTCAGGCTTAGGCCTGCTGAGACCCCTGCCTCCTTGCAGGCCCAGTTGAAGTCCCCTGGGGCTAGGCTGAGGGAGTCTGGGTCAGTGAACCTCAGCACTGCCCCTCCCCGTGTGGCTCTCAGTTGAGACCTGTAGGAACAAGCTCAAGCGCTGGAAGGGGAGCCAAGGCCCAGAAATGACAGGGCCTGGTTTCGAGCTTTGGTAAGGTCAGCACAGGTGGATTTTAGGAGATGGGACAGAGGAGTCTGTGATGCTCCCTGCAGGGAGCCGTCAGCCTGGCCTCCTGGTGTCCAGCCTGAGATGGAGATGCTGGGCCTTTCCTCATAATCAGCCTGAGAGATGCAATGGATCGGGCAGGCCCTGGTACGCCGATGTCCGTGCTGCCGATGCCCAGTACCAGCAAGGAGTGATGCGCAGCCAGACGGAGGGGGCAGGGCCAACACACACACAGCGTGGACACTGAGCCAGAGGATCTAGACACAGAAGGCCACATGCTGTGGTTTTGTTTCCATGAGGAGCCCAGGACAGGGCAAGGGAGATAGCTCAGTAGAATAAGCACTTGCCTGGCAAGCACAGGGTCCTGAGTTCAATCCCCGGTACTGCAAAAAAAAAAAAAAAAAAAAAAGCCCAGGGCAAGGACTATCAAGGCAGGAAACAGCAGTAGCTGTGGGTGCGTGGGGAACACAGGTGACACAAGTGTTCTGGGCAGAGGCACTGGCTGCATTGCAGAGGGACATAGGACAAAGGAGATGGAGGCACCTACCCTACACTGGTGTTTGGGGATTTCTCCTAGGACAAGAGGTAATGTCTCTCGAAGGCTGAGATGTAACAGCCCAGGCTGGTCAGGGAGCCAGGCCCCTTGTGCCACCATCCTGGGGTCTCTTATCCACTTTCCTGGCTGAGGGACAATCCAGGCATCTGAGAGCAGGACTCGGGGTGTGATCTGAGGCATGAGAGACGTACCCCTCCGTTCCGCTACACAGCCGCCCCAAAGCCCGGGACAGTGGCCATGTCCATGAGGTGGCCTGGATCTCCTGGCACTGCCCCCACTCATGGTGACAGGTGTCTTCCCTATCCTTCCTCCCTGCGTGGCTGCAGTTGCCGCCTACCCCAGACACAGCTTTCCTCTCCCCAAGACCCTGCCGTGTGTGTGTGAAGGAACTGGAAAGGGCACACAGGGCCTGTGTGCCCCGATGCCCTGCTGCACCCCAGCTCCTTGCTCTGGGACCTCTGGGGATTGCCTGCCTGGAGCCCCACTCTCAGCACATAACCAGAAGGGGCATGGGCTTGTGTCAGATGCAGCGCAGGCCAAATGTGGAGTCTGCCTCTGTCCTGAGCCCCTGGATGCAAGGGATGGAAACTCAACTCAGCTGGCCAGGAGCAAAGTAGAAGTAGATCCACCTGGAGAACTGGTGTCACGGAGGCATGGCTTGATTGAGTGGTATGGTTGGGACTTGGTTTCCTGCATCTCCACCTTCTAGATCTGCTTCTCTGGGCAGTGCCACCCTTCACATGGGCAGCTTAGCCCCAGCAGGCCCAGATTCTACATCTCTCTCATGGTGGCAGTGAGGACAGGTAGCAAGATGTACAGAACTCCAGGAAAGGGCTGGCTGTGTGTGTGACCCTGTTCCTATGACTGGGCAACAAGGTACCATGGGTCACGTGCATGCCTTGCCCTGAATGCTCCTCCTGAGAAGACCAGGATCTGAGTTCTAGCAGTGGCCCTGGCTAGCTGGAGAGCAGCGTACTCTGAAGCTGTCTGGGGTCAGCTCGGGCCAAGGTGGCACAGGGCTGGGCTCTCAGGTCTGCATTGAGGTCCGGGGCTATTGACACCACAGTGCCTGGAGACCCCCTCCCCAGGCCCGAGATTCCCCCTCAAAATCCTGTGACCACTGGTCATGGTGACACAGACCTGTAGTTCCAGCTACTAGGGAGACTGAGGCAGGAGGACTGGGAGTTCCAGGCCAGCCTGGGCAATGTGAGGAGACCTTGTCTCAAGAAAAATAAGGGGGAAGTTCAGGGAGAGCATGTGGGTTTGATCCCTAGTACTCCATACTGAGGTCCAGAGATCCTAAGGGTACCTTAGCAGGGCTGGAGCTAAGCAATGGGTGGGGTGCCAGTGGCCAGCAGCCAGCATGGCCGCAGGACCCAGGAGGGAGGCTCCCACGGGGGTAGCCTGCTCACAGAGCCCTGTTTCAGTGTGCAGCAGGCATAATGCACCCCTCAAAGAGAACACAGCAGCCCCTGGGGACAGGTGGGTGAGGGCTGCTCATCAGGCAGCGTCCCTTTCCCAAACACAGACCAGGCAGGGGAGGAGGGTGGTCGTCTGGGAGCTATGGAGGAACATGCTAGGAAATGAGGCCACAGGGTGCATGAGCCAGGGGTGGGTGGTCAGTCCAGAGGGGGCTGTGCCGGTAGCTCGGACTCCCAGGCAGATCCTGGAGTGAGGCCCCTGGTCCCTCTGTGGCCTTGCTATCCCAGCTGGCCATCACTCCACCATGGGGCCCTGAGTCAGTGGGAGGTGGGAGCCGGCCTCAGCTTCCCCAGAGGAGAAATAATTGGGCTGGTGTTTGGGAGCCTTCCTCCCTTTCCTGGCCTCCTCGTCCTGGGAGCCTCTACAAACTAGGCTCACAGGTCAGTCCCCTGAGGAAAGACCCCAACCTCCACCTCTGCTCCCACCAGAAGGAAGTGGTCGCTGGGCCTGGAAGGCACCTGCGCAGAGCAGGTCGCAGACCCCGCATGGCGGCCTTCAGCAAAGCTTTCAGATTCCTTTCCCCTCAACAGCCCCACACCCTGTACTTCGCAGCCAAGCCCTAGACTTACAGAAGTAGAATCTTGGGTGTGCTCAGGACTTGGGCCTTCATCAAACCACTCTCAGACATGCCACCCTGGGGAGCTGGAGGAACTGGAGCTGCCTATTCCTGTGCCCACCCACTGCCCTGCAAGCCCTTGTGGCAGCCTGAGAGTGACAGGACCTAGGGCTGGTTCTGCCCAGCTTTGTTAGTGGGGAAGCTGGACTCAGGGAAGCCAGGTGCCCAGTGATCAGCAAGCAGGTAATCTTCCCTGAGGGGGACAGTGCCCCGGAAGACCCTCGCTGCCTGTCTCCCAGGAGCAGAGCCAGCACAAGGGCCCACAGCTGTCTCCCTGAGCTGCAGCAGCCCAGCTGGCCCAGTGCCTCTGGGCCTAGATCCTGGCCCTCCAGGCCCTGGTGGAGGCATGGGGACAATCTCCCACCCCCGCAGAGCAGGCTCCCCATGGGGTCGTGGGGTCCAGGCCTTGGTCTGGGGATTCCCGTGGCGGCCATGCTGCATCTGCTGCGGAGCACTTTCTCACGCAGTATGGTGATGCCCTGCCCTGCCTGCTGCTATGAAAAGCAGAAGTCCTGTGTGAAGAAAGAGGAAGTGCAGGGGTTAGGAAAGGCACCTCCAAAGGAGGCAGGGCCCGGACTGCGGGAGGAGGGGCCTCAGTCCTGGCGGGAAGTGAGGCAAAACCTGGGGCTGCAGGGCCAGGAGCCCCACGTACTGTGTTGGGGTTGAGAGATGGGGTGTTATCACAGTCTGGGATCCAGGCTCGGACCTCTCCAGGATGCAGCAAGACAAGGACCCCTGGCCTGTGTCACATGCTTGGCAACTATGACCAGCAGAGCAGTTGCTGGGACCCCCTGTATCTGGGCCCAGGAGATCAGGAGCTTCCAGTGGCTGAAGCTGGAGTGATCTGGATGTGAGAATAGATGTCCAGTGTCTACACTGACATGAGCACAGCCTGAGCGAGGGAAGAGGGACAGCTGCTCCTTCCAGAGGATTCCAGAGCTAAGCATGAAGAAACGAAGGGCAGAAGGCCACCCAAGGCAGGGGACAGTGCCTGTGTGCAGGCCGCCTCCAGACCCTCACGCCGCAGTGGAGAAGCAGCTGCCAGCCTGGCCCAGAGTGACTTCCCCAAGAGGCCAATGGTGACATCAGGTTGGAGGAGTCCCAGGAGGTCCCTTGCCCGTATGTCAGCAGCACAGGACCTGGCCTGGCGCAGGGAGAACCACACCACTGCAGAGTTCTTAGCATAGATGCAGGCCTCGCCTCCCCTATGGGAGGAGTGGTGCTGACCTGGTGACAGACCTGCCCATGATACATCTGGGTCATGAAACCCAGGTAGGACAGATAAGTCACACAGGTGAACACTCAGAATAGGGGCCATCTTCTATCAGGGAACCTCAGTTTCCTTCCCACTGTGGTCCTGGACCTGATGGTGACAGTGTCACTAAGCCACCCACTGCAGATCCTCCCACCCCAGTGTCCAGCATGCTGAGTGGTGCTCGACTTTCACATCCCAGAAGAGACCTTGACAGCCAAGCTGCCCCTGCTCTGTCCCCACAGATGGCTTTCCTAGGTGCTTCGTGATGGAGGCAGGCAACAGGGTCTCTGCTTCTGGCTTCTGTCATGGAAGATGATGTTTGTCCATTCTGTGGCATGTGCTATTTTTGCAACTTTCCTTCAAGTCTAAAATTGGCTCAGAAGATCAAACAACACTGTCTTGCATTGGGGTCCTAGCATACTAGTTGCCACCAACTTTGCATTCTTGTTCCCTGCCCTGCACGTCCCCAGCTGGACACCTCCTACCAATGGAGCCTTATGGAGCTGGAGACCAAGTATCAGCTCCAGGCTGGAGGTCTCTAGGGCCTGTAGCCACCAACACTCTGGGGGTGTCAGGCTGTTGCCTCCATCATAGGGACAGGATTCTGGGCAGGCCTGGGGCCTGAGTACACTGTGCTCCCATGTGGGGCTTGGATGGTCTGTTTCTAGGGAGACAAGTGCGGTCCAGTGATGGGGAAAGGGGTCAGGCAGGCACTGGTGGCCCATGCGGTCTCCCACATGCTGCCAGCCACAGGGGCTTCTGGGGAGCTCTGTCCACAGGGCACTGGGGAGGGACTGTGGCCAGGAACGGGCTGCCCTTTCCTGGCCTGGGCCGAGGGAGAAGTTGGTGGGTGGCTCTGAGGGTGAGCTGCACCCTATGGTAGATATAGGGGTTCAGAAGTCCAGAAGGTTTCTGTCCCTGTGCAGTTTGCAGCCCTGGCACGGTGGCGGCAGGCTGGTGTCCACACTGCTGCTTCTGGATAGCCCCGGCCAAGCTCGTGGTTCTGTTGGAGGCATACAATGCTCTCCCAACAGCTGGAGATGTAGGGTGGTGTGGGGTCCTTGCCTGCCCCTCCCAAGCCCTGCTTTCGGAGGTGACCCTGTGACAGAGCCCTTCTCCCTCCCTAGGCCTCCTTGCCTCTGCTGGGCCTCAATGGTAGCCTTTCACGGGCCAGACAATGCCCGCGCTGTCAGGGCACAAGCATGGCTTCCTGCCCACAGTTTGGCCAGGTCCTTGGGGTGGCCCCTCTTAGCCTCTCCCTCCCCTTGGCTGACCATGGCCCTCCCCAGTTGCCTGGTTGTGCCAGGCAGGGATGTCCCAGGATGGCTATCTCCCCCAGCCTTATCTCCCCCTGCATGTCACAGGGCAAACAGGGTGGTAGGATGGGGCTGTGGCTCTCTGGGTGAGGGACAGGACCCTGCTCTGGCCTCACTTTCCCCAGCTGTACTGTAGAAAAAAGGTGATACAGCCAGGCTGCTGGGGTTGGTGTCCCTATCTGTCCCACTGTCCCTGAGCCTTGAGGAGGAGTGGGCAGTGACCTGGGTCATCTTGCCCTCCGGCCTGTGAGGTGCTGGCACAGTGGGTATGTCTAGGATTTGTTGGCCCAGAGGACCGTTCAGTCCTCTGCTCAGCTGTCTAGTAAGAGAGACCTGATGCCCAGGAAGGGCCAGAGCTAGGATGAGGCGGTGGTAGGGGTTGTGGCTAGCTGTGAGCCCCTGACTCTGCCCCCCTGTGTGACTATAGAGCCAGGCCGTCTGGGGGGCAGGGCCACAGACTAAGGAGACCTCACCTCTGCAATCAGCTCAGAGACGGCCTGCCACTGAGCTTCAGCCCTCTGGCCCTGTGCTCTCAGAACTTCATTGTCACTGCCAGATTCTCCCAGGCCAGTGGCAGAGCCCCTGCCCCCAAAGGGCATGGTCCCTGGCTTTTTTTCTTTTCAGCAATGGGAACTGAACTTGGAACCTTGCATGCTTATGCCACTGAGCTATATCTCTGGCATCCCAGGTCGTTTTTGAGAGGGTTTTGCTATGCATTTCAGGTTGCCTTGAGCTCACTTTGTAGCCCCAGGCTGGTCTTAAACTCTCAAGAATCCTCCTGCCTCAGCCTCTGGAATGCCCCTCCCCACCAGCTTGAGTCCCTGGCTTTAGCATCCTCTGGGGACATGGGAGGAGCCCTGAAGCCCTGCCTCAGGCAGCAGGGAGGGATCCTGGGTGGCTGCAATGGCAGGCGGGGTATAGCCAGAAGTCTCATAGGCTCTGCCCGTAGCCCCAGGAGCCCTTGAGGCACAGCCAGCCCCAAGTTCTGACTTGATCAGAGGTCAGGCAGGAGTTGCCGGAAGCCAGAGGCCGCCATGGCCACTCTCTACAGGGGCAGCCCACTGGCAAGAGAGTCAGGGACATGGGGGACCAGGAGCCCTCGGCACTGAAGGCCACACTGGCCCCTCACCACACACAGCCAGCCTCATTGTCACACTAAGAGCCGGCTGTGTGGTTCCCTGCCTTGGTTTCTTAAATATACTGTGCAATTTATATACATGGGGCATGATTTACATATACTTTGCATATCCTATTTAGAGTACAGTTCTGGGAGCTGAGACAAATGAGGATGCAGAGCCCCAGTGTTTCCCACAAATCCTGCAGGGCCCTCCCCACCCTGCAGCTCCAAGCCAGCTCCTCTCCCTAAGCCCACAGGTCGGGCTGCAGGATAGTTTCCATGGCATGGGGGTGCTATTGGCATCCATTTCCCAGCTGAGGGACATGAGGTCATTTCCATTTTGTGCAGATAGAGGGAAACCACCTGCGTATCAGTGGGCAGCCACTGTGTGAGCATGGCCTTCCCACCTGGATTTTTACTAGTAAGCTTGTGTCAGTCTAAGAAACTACCAGCCTGAGCCCGGCATGGTGACACAGGCCTACAATCTCAGCACCCGAGGGCTGAGGCAGGAGGGTCTTAATTTCCAATCCAGTCAGGGCAACTTAGAAAAAATAAAAAAGGCTGAGGATGTAGCTCAGCGTGAAGGTCCAGGTTCAGTCTTAAGTACTGCCAAGAAAGAAGAAACCATCTGCCTGCCTTCAAGGACACTGCACCTCTCATCCCTGAAACCCTGCAGGAGGCCACGTGGGTGACCTGCGCCTGTGGCCAGGTGTGGCCTGCTGTCCCAGTGCAGGCGGTGCTTTGTCATGACTGAAGATGCGGGGAATTGTGGGGCTGTTTCCACCTCTCCACAATCTCCTCATGGTGTGGGCCTTGCTGTAAGGGTCCAGTCCCTGCTGAGGGAAGTGTTTGCCTCTGCCTGGGCCAGCCAGGCACCTGCAGGCACTTGGACCAGGGGTAGGAGACCCGAGCTTGGCCAGGCCCTGCTGACCATGCCTTTCAGCCCCAGGCCAACCATACTCCCTGTCACCAAGGAGCCTGAGACTCTGAGAGGTTTGGACACAAGGGTAGGGCCCAGCCAGGGACTCTGGCCAGCACCTTCCAAAAATACTGCTTGTGTTGCTATCACAGGGTTGAATTGAGGCTCCTGATGGCTGATTGTCAGGAATGGCAGACAGATGGGTGGCTGGCACCATCTGCCCTGCATCCTTGAGCCGAGTCTGGACCCGAGGATCTCCAGAGCCCTCCGCCCCACGGAGCCCCTTAAGGGTAGCAGGGGACAGAGGCAGCTGGATCCCCGGTCCTGCGCTGCGCCTGCTTGCTCCCCAAGCTGTTGCTGCCACCTGCTGGGAACTGTGGGTGTAGCATGGCAGGGGCTGGCATTTACCAGGCTTGAGCACTGGCCTGGTGGGCTGGAGTGCAGGGGATCATGGATGTGTTCCTCCAGTCTGTACCCACAGTTCCTTTCTCCCTATGGCACTTGGACCAGGGGTAGGAGACCCTATGGAGAAAGGAACTGTGGGTACAGACTGGAGGAACACATGAGGTCATGTGGTAGTGGTCATGAGGTAGTGTGTCCAGTGTCTTCCAGGCCCGGCTATCTGTATAACCAGGAGCTACTAGGGATATTGTTACCCCTAAACTCGCTGGTGTCAATACACACTTAGCTGAGTGCTGTCCGGAGTTCAGACGCTGAAGAAGCCCATTGGGCTTGGTGCTCATTTAGTTGGTCAATAAACATTCCAAGTTGGCCCAACTTGGACTCCAGGACATTTGGTGGCTGGGGGAGGAGGGTTACAGAAGCATATCAACCTCTCCATGGGTTTCCACAGGGCCAGGTCTCCTGAATCATGGCAGGAGGGTGCGGGCTGTGCCCAGCTATGCTCTGAGACAGGAGAGGGATAGTCCTCAGGGTGCCAGCAGCTCCTGCCTGACCCCAGGCTGCCGCCTCCTTACAGCCACATGTGTCAGAAAGCAGGGAACACAGTGTCTGGTCTCTGGTATCAGGGCCGTGTGGTGCCTCAACCATGGCTCTGCGGCTTCTGGGTAGTGATGGTGATGCAGGCCCCCACCCTGTCTCAGTCAAGGTCTCCTCACCTCCTTCAGTGACACCTTGTGGGAAGTGGGACCCTGGCTGTGACCAGGGGTGCAGGGTGATGGACAGGCCTCAGCCCAGGGTCCAGCAGGTGTGAGACACTGTCAGGGACTCCCCTGAAGGACCCTCCCCATTACATACAGGCCCACAGCCTGAGGGCTGGAGAGGCTATGGGAGGAGCATCCCTGGAGTAAAATAGGTGGGGGCTTGGGGACACCACTGTGTGGCAGGGGAGAAGTAGGCCTCTCTTTCTTGGGTGATCTGGGGCACCTTCTGTTCTTCCTCCCTGTGTCTACAGAACATCCTGCTGCCAGTAGGAGGGAACAGCTGGGCTGGCGCCCAAGGGAGGTCACCATAGCAGGATGGCCCTACCCAACCCAGCTGGCAGAGAGCCCCCCCAACCTGTCTCCTTCTCAAGCTGGGCTGTGGCCAACCCTCTGACACCCTGTCCATTCTTTCAGGGTACCGTGAAGGCCTTCTCTGGAAGCGAGGCCGGGACAACGGGCAGTTTTTAAGCCGGAAGTTCGTGCTGACAGAGAGAGAAGGGGCCCTGAAGTATTTTAACAAAAATGATGTAAGCCAGGCTCAGGCAGGGGTGGGGCATCCTGAGGGGTCCTTTGCCTCCACTCAGTGTTGGCCCCTGAATGGGAGCCACCCTTGGGAATGCTCCACTTTGGAAGGGACACCCACATGCACACAGCGGGCCACCACCACCCAACTCTTGGACTGGGTGGTACTGGGGTCACACAGGCAGTCTCTCCTCAGTGGGGACACTCAGGCCCGAGGTAGCCAAAGGACAACAGCTTGGTCTGCCATCTTCCCAAGCAGCACACATGCTGGGGAGCCCTGGCCCAGCCTTTCCCCTAGACTGCTTGCTTAAGGCCCCAACACAGGGTAGTGGTAGAGGTGGTGACCTCGGGTGGCCTGGTCAGATGCACAGATGTGAGCTGGCTCTGCCACACCTGCCCCATGAAGGGGCATCCCAGCCATCCTGTGTCCAGGCTGCCAGGCTCAGAGAAGTGCAACCTCCACTCTGGGGCCACACAACCTGTCCTCAACAGGGCTTGCTTGTGTCGATGCCCTTGCTGTAGGACCCTTGTTGCAAGGATGGGGCACCCCTGGGAGTCAGGAGCTCTGGCTGGGTCCCCCAGGGGCCCATCATCCATTCTGCCAGTATCCATCAAGAGTGTCCTGGGGCCCAGTGCCATGCTGGGTGGTGATGACAGAGCCCCTGGCCTCCTGCACCCACCCCAGCCTTGGTATCAGGTGGGCTGCTGGAATCTGTGCCCTCATTCAGGGTTGGAGTGGCCAGGCAGCACCTTGATTTGGGGCCTAGCAGGGAGGAAGTATAAGGACTATCACTTGCCTGGGGGACAGTGGTCTGAACAAGGAGACCACATTGGCTGGGCTCTGTCTCTGGGCCTGGCTTTGTGTCCCTATTGGACCTCAGGGCCACACCACAGGTGGCACACTGACTGGAGAGTCATGTGCTAGGGCTCTGCAGAGGGAGAGCAAAGGGTACAGGATGGGGACAGAACCCAGAGATGGAGGCTATCCCATGGGGCCATTTGTTCTCACCCCCAGGGAGGGAGGGCTGTTTCCAAGGCTTACAAGAAACAGCTCTGTGAGGCTCAGTAATGCACCTGGTCCACAGCACACAGGGGCTGCCAGTCCAGTGCCCATTCTGCCCTTGGCCTGGACAGTGGCCCCTACTCCCCTGGGTTCAGAATTATCCTATTTTGTAGGCCAAGGAGCCCAAGGCCATCATGAAGATCGAGCACCTGAATGCAACCTTCCAGCCAGCCAAAATCGGCCACCCTCATGGCCTACAGGTCACCTACCTAAAGGACAACAGCACCCGCAATATCTTTGTCTACCACGAGGATGGGAAGGTGGGCATGGGTACAGGCACCTGGTGGGGACATGGTCCTGCCTCGAGGCTGCCTGCCAACATCTCTGGGGTACAGGAGGGTCACCCCCTCCCACCCATCCCCACAGATGATGGGCCCCTCCTGTCCTGGGAGGATGCAGGCCCAGCAGGGGCCCCTGTCTGTTTTCATCAGTAGCATGTGGGGCTGGGGGTTGTCTCAGGCTGGGAGGCCGTGCCGGACTGCACCCTAGTCTGCTGCTCTGATTCTGCGCAGCCTGAACCTGTCGGTCCCACACTTGCCCGGCAGCCAGATTTGTCAGCTTCAGCACCTTCTGGCACCATCCAGCAGGGAGGACAAGGTCTGGCTGGGCTCACCTGCCTCGCATGTTCACGATACGTGACTATGATTGTGGCCACTTTCTCTCCCACACACACTCGGTTCCCACTGTCACAGTTGTATCCCCTGTGGACACTGTACATCCTGTCACGGGGCCTGCCCCCCAGGCCCAGACGTGGCTGCAGTTCCCACCCAGCATGGAGAATGTGGGTTGGGGCTCATTCTCCCTCCCAACTGAGCTCACTTGTGCTGTTTGCTGGAACATGGCTCAGTCAGGTCTGCTTTGGTGGCCTTGGGCCGGGTGGCCCCTTCTGGGGTCAGGAGTATTTTCTTTTCTTTTTTTGTTTTGTTGAAACAGGGGTTCACTGTATAGTTAGCCCAGGGTAGCCTTGGACTTGCAGCAGTCCTCTTGCCTCAGCCTCCCAAGTGCTGGGATTACAGGCTCACGCCACTGTGCTCGGGTTGAACTTTCACCTTTGCAAAGTCCTTTCAGAGCTCAGGTAGTTCCTGTTCCTGTTTCGGTAGCTCTTGTTTCATGATGAATGGTCTTCTTCGAGAGTTTATCTCTGAAAAGCATCTTAGTTTCTTAGCTGCTAGTTCTGTTTGTGTTGTCTGCTGTCTTCCTTGTGACACCTCCCTACTGTCCTGGGGTCAGACGGGATACCAGCCCTGCACCAGAGCTGGGGTGGGGGGCATCGGTGTTGCTCAACCCTTCTGCTTGGCACCCCTACTTCCATGGCTTCCCTCCAGCCGCCCTGCTCTCCCCCATCTCTGGTTAGGCCTTGAGCAGGCACCAAGGATCTCTTGGTGTGAGTAGCTGTCAGCTTCACCCAGAGGCCTCTGTCTTCACTTTCCTGAGGAAGGCCGCAGCCAAGACAAACAGGACTCTAAGGCACAGGCTCTGTGCAGGCTGGGGCCTGTGTCCCTTCCTCTAAGGACGACTGTGGCCAGGGAAACTTGTGGATGTGCTGTGGTCTGGAGAAGGCCGTGGACAGGGCAGAGACACATGGGCAAGGGAGGCAGATGTAGGCGCCCAAGTGAAAGATGGGAGCAGCATCTTTGACCTGAACATTAACCATCTGTTACCATGGTGAGGAAAGCGCCTGCCTTCCTCCTGGGGCTGGGCAGAGCCTGGGGCCAAGGGTCAGGGCCTGTTTGGAAATCAGGAGTGAGGGGCACTGGGTGAGCTGGGGGCTGCAGCAGTGGCACACACAGAATCTGGCCTGTGCAGCCGGGACACTTTGGGGCTTGGCAAGAACAGACCAGAGGGGGCCCTTTAAGGTGAGGGAAGTGATGACTGAAGTCAGGTGAAGGCGACACAGCGAGAGGTCAGCGTGATGATCTGCAGCATGGGGCCAGTGGGCAGCAGGGACCCCAAGCAGGGTTCAGGGAGGCAGCCCAGGTGCTGACAACGATAGCTGGGATGTCTGGCATTTGGCCTTTGCTGGACAGTAGGGCGGGTACTGGCCAACAATGTTGAAATACCAGGGTGGGGAGGTGGTGGGTGGCCAAGAGCTGGGGGCAGGGCAGGGGTCCTCCATGGGGGCCAGGGGCTCCAGGTTCCCTGCAAGGAGGGGCAGTCCTAGGCATGGGGTGTGGGAAAGAGACAGCTAGGGCTGCTGGGCCAAGCTGTGTGCAAGTAAAGCCGCACACCAGTGTGATAGTCATGGAGAGGCTGGCCAGCGCCACTGCAGCGCCCCTAACCCCTACGCGATTTCTCTGTGGGCCATCTTGTGGTGTAGCCTGGTGGGGCACTGGAGCTTGTCCCCCACAGCCCTGTGCCAGGATGGCCTGGAGGGACAGCAGAGTCCATGGCTCACAGAGTCTTTTGCCCCCAGGAGATGGTGGACTGGTTCAACGCGCTTCGGGCCGCCCGCTTCCACTACCTGCAGGTGGCCTTTCCAGGGGCCAGTGACATGGACGTGAGTAGCTACCCTGAGGTCATGGTGAGGGGTTGTGAACATCTCAGTCCCTGTCCCCCAGGCTGGGCTAGGGTGACCAAGGACACACAAGGCCCCAGCCACCCCTGAAGTGACCAGTCATCTTCAGTGCAGGACAGGCAGGGGCAAAAGCCAGTTGGCAGCAGGGCAAGGGAGGAAGGCAGGTGGCCGTGCCAGGCAAAGGGGTGGAGCATGGCTGGGGGATGGGTGTCCCTGACCCTGGGGAAGGTGGGGCTCAGCTTCCAAGGGGACAGGCCGGATGCCTCTCATGCTGTCTGAACATTTGGTCCCCCCAGCTGGTGCCGAAGCTGTCCCGAAACTACCTAAAGGAAGGCTACATGGAGAAGACAGGGCCCAAGGTGGGTCTATGGGGGTGGGGGCTGCCTCGGCCACACCCCAGTCCACAGTTCTCCTGCTTGTTCCTGGGATAGAGCAGGGCACAGTGAGCCTGGGCTAGAGCACCAGCACCCTCTCACTACTGTACTGAATGGCCGAGCTCGCGTGTGTCTCAACAGGTTCCCAGCCAACAGGGACCACAGCCCTGGCTGCCCTTCCCCACAGGGACCCTTTGCCCATAGCCAGCACAGGTGCTGCTGGGGAGGTGCAGGTGTGAGCTTTGTACCTGGGGACACAGCACCGGCCACGCCCACTGTGCAGCTGGGTGGCAGGCAGAGCATGGCCCAGTGAGGCCCCGCCCTCCCAGTGAGTTGTGCCGGGTGGGCAGGGCCACTGCACCCGGCCAGCTGGTCACCTGCCCTCCCAACCACAGCAAACAGAAGGCTTCCGGAAGCGCTGGTTCACCATGGATGACCGGAGGCTCATGTACTTCAAAGACCCCCTGGTAAGGAGGGTCTGCCTGCCACCCCCGCAGGAGGTTGGTAGGCTGACAGGACTTGCTGCTGAGGGGGAGGCTCATCTCCCAGGGTCCTTGAGGACAGTGGGGCATGGAGAAGCAGCCCTACCTAGAGACCTGCCAGGTCCCTTTCCTGCCCATGTGGGCTGGGCTCCAGGGATGGGAGGTGCCCAGCCCAAGCTCCAGCCTGGCCCCTGCAGGATGCCTTCGCCCGAGGGGAGGTCTTCATTGGCAGCAAGGAAAGCGGCTACACGGTGCTGGAGGGGCTCCCGCCATCCACCCAGGGCTACCACTGGCCACATGGCATCACCATTGTTACACCCGACCGAAAGTTCCTGTTCACCTGTGAGACGGAGGCTGACCGGAAGGAGTGGGTGGAGGCCTTCCAGAGGGTGGTGGACAGGCCCATGCTGCCCCAGGAGTATGCAGGTGAGAGCAGGCATGCAGAGGCTATGACTACACCTTGTGGCTGGAGGTCTGTGCTGGATGGGGGCCAGGTAGGTAGCATGGGAGTAGCCACTCTGACATGGGTGGACACTTGTTATCTGCAGTGGAAGCCCACTTCAAGCATAAGCCCTAGCAAGAGACATCCAAGGCCTGAGGACGCTGGACTCACATGACTGGCTGGCAAGGAGGTAGCCAGCTGCCCCAGCCAGCCCCTGCTCCTTGGAACAGGCAAGAATGGCCAGGTAGGGCCTCAGCTTTGGCTGCTAGGATGTGAGTCTCTGGAACCTCGTCGTAGGCAACCTCAGCCCCGTCAACGTTGCTGCTGACCATGCCTGGCCGACCCACACCCCTCCCTGCCCACCCCTAGTGAGGGCGGCTCAACTAACTCCTTGCTCCCAGCCCAGCCAGAGGTTACACCAGGCCTTGGAATGGGACCTCAGCTGGGCTGCTGGGGATTAGGGCCTGCCGCATGCCTCCCCTCCCCACCTCAACAAGTATTTATTGAGCACCTGCTGTGTCGGTCACGGGTCCACTGAGGATGTGTGCACACACATCCCAGCCCTGGATTGAGTCCCAGCGCTCCTGGGCACCTGGCCTGGGGCAGGAGGGCCAGGGGCTCAACCAGGGCTACGCCAGGGCATCTGGTGCCCAGCTTGGTGCTTGGCCTGGCAGGTAACCCATGCCCACCAGCCCTGGCCTTGTGGTCTTTGAGCCCTTTAGGATGATGGCCCCCCAGGGGCAGGGCAACCCTGCAGCCTAGCTCCCCCAGCTGGGCCCTGCTTGCTGCTGGCAGGCCAGTAGTTAAAGCCACCTTGTATTTATTTCTCACCTGATCTCCTTCCGTGCTGCATCCTGGTCACCCAGGACAGCCAGGGTGGAGCGCACAGCAGGGAAGCACCTGCCCCAGGGAGTTGGGAGGTCTCCTGAGCTGGTGTCCTGTGCCCACGTCACGTCCTAGAATAAAGTGTGGCTCTGGCATGGTCCCTTCTGTGTGTAGGTGGGGGGAGGGGGCAAACTGACAGCTTCCACATGGGTACAGTGGGACAGACTGCCATGGCAGGCCCATGTTTCCTGAGCCTGAACTGGGGTGCCCTGCCTATCATATAGGAGGAGCTGCAACCCTGAGGAAGTGGCAGCCCCCAGGGTGTGCCTACCCTAGCCATCCCGGTGCCCACACTGACCTATTTCTAGGATTATGGCAGGGGTCCTGGGGTGCCTCTTTCAAGGCAGGCCCTCCAAGGCCTCCTCCAGCCTTGGCATGTCAGACAAGGTCTGCAGCCTGGGTCAGGAGCCCAGAAGCGGGGTAAGATGGGGGGGTGCACAGGTACCCTGCAGACAGCCTGGGCTCCTTGGCCCTCGTGTCCTCCTTCTCAGTGAGGAAATAGGCCCTGGGGAAGCAGAGGTCATCCAATCCCACCTGGGGATCCCAAGGTGACTGCCCTGGTGACATCAGTAGGAACAACACCCTCCACCCCTGGTAGTGGCTGGGGTTTACCTGGGCAGTGCTCACCAGGTTGACTGGCTGCAGCTTCTGTAGACACCAGCCAGGTTCTCAGATGCCGAGTCTGGGTGAGAAACCAGGCCTCAGCCCTGCATCTACACAACCACAGGGCCAACCCAGACATCCCCACTTTGGCTATGTGGCATGCAGGTGGCGTGTCTGCACGTGTTCATGTGTGCACACACATGGCCACATGCATGGCTGGCTGTGCATGCTGAGGAACCCGTATGCTACCTGGCACTAGCAACATTTTTTAAAGAAGCCACAGAACAAGCCTGTGAATGGTTGGGGATGAACTTTTCAGAGGTCGGAAACCACAGCCCCTGGAAGGGCGTCATGGGGTGCTGGGCACACGCCCTCGACAGGGTGACACCACTGCAGTCTGGACCAGGGCCTAGGGATGATGCCATCTCCCTGCCACATGGTCGTGAGCACACCAATGCCACAATAAACTTGGCACTTTACAAGGATGTGTCCTGAGGTTTGTGGGGGAGGGGTAACGAGCGGGGTGGTGCAGACGGGCGGGTCCCTGGGCTCTGGCTTTTTGTGTGCTCACTTAGGGTCAATCCTATGTATGCACACAATGTGAACTGTGCTTAAACTGATCCCTAATACATCAAGTATGGGGCCTAACTCATGGATTCAAAACCAGAATCTCAGGAGAATGGGGTGCTCCAGCCTGGCTCCTTCTGTGCCTGTCCCCAGCTGTCCCAGTCCCTTTCAGGGCACTGTCCCGTGAGTCCAGAAATGACAGGTAGTCTGCTCTATGGAGCTGACATATTACCTGGTGGGTTTGATTTCAATAAAATTACACTTATTTCTAAAATCACAGCCAATTAATTTCTGCCACCTTCCTGACACTGGCACATTATCTGCACTTATGCAAGCTGACAGACCCCAGCCCACAGCGCAGCACACACCTCCTCCAGGACTCTGCCACTCCCCAGAACCTGAGGCTCTGGCCTCCCCGGGGCAGGGTGGGGCTGGGCATGACCAAGGCCCCACTGCGCCCCACCCACCTGGGCCCATAGCTGGGCCATGCCAGCCCCAGCTCACCAGAAAGGACCAGTGCAGCACAGGCCAGTACAAAGGATTTATTTATACGTAACATCAACACAAGCCTCCCTTTATCCATTTTTACAGTAAATAACGTATATTTCCCTCCTTCCCATGCATGGTCACTGTGTATTAATCTACAACTCTTATTTTAATTGTGAAAAAATAAAGTGTTGCCCTTTATAATTATACTGGTAACATGGAATATTATCAGTGATAAAGGACAGATTTGCTCATTCCTGGTTATTTGGTTAAAACCTAAAACATTAGGTTAGAGAAACCCATCACCCAATAAAAATAAATACTGCATCACAAAGGGCACGTTCTGCGGTACCCCTTTCTGAAATGACACTTCAGGACTGGCAGCGTGGCCCCCACAGCCCAGCAGCGCTGCAGCTCTGGACTTGTGCAGAGGGGCTTCACTGGCCACATGGGGCACCGTGGGGCCCACAGCCTGGAGGACCAGCAGGCATGGGTTCCAACAGGGAGAGGGACACCATGACTACGAAATGACCTCATATTCGAAAAAAAATATTTAAACAAGAAACTTGCTCTCAAGTGTGTGGGGCCACAGAAAGCCCAGCTCGGTCCTCATGTCTGGTGGCCACTGCCTCCTGGCTCACACCACGGGCTGTGCTGGACACCAGGCTACCGGTCCCACAGCCCTCCCCAAGGAACCAGAGACAAGGACGGCAGAGGGAGGCGCAGCAGGGCCTGTGCTTTATTGTGGATCGAGCTGAGGGGACACAGTCTGCTGCAGGAACCTAGGCCTTGCGTTAGGTCTCAGCCACACAGTGCCAGGACACCATGCAGCGCTCTGTCACCTTCCATAAATAGGGACAGATGCTGCAGGGCAGCCCTTGCCGGCTGCAGCCTAGGAGCCACCAGGATGAGCAGCCGCCTGCTGGGCCTTGAGCCTGAAGCCATCCAGGTAGCGCTGACCAGGCATCTCCCTGCAGGCCGGGCAGCTCAGTCCAGCTCGATGGGGCTGCTGTCGTCTTGGCTCTCCTCCCCCTCCTCCTGCTCTGAGGAGCCCATGAGGCTGCTCAGCAGGTTTCCTGAAGGGAGACAGTGCAACAGGAATCAGGTGCTGACCCACAGAACCCGTCTCAGAGGGGGCTTCAGGTGCATGCAGGCTAGCACAGCCCCCAATGCCTGAAGCTGCACAAACACCAGCACTGCTCCCAATGCCCCTGTGCAGCTGTCACCACTGTCACCAAGTGACGCTTCTCCAGGTCCCAAAGGCCACACTGAATCCTCCTTCACACCATCTGTACCTAACCCTATGCACATATTCCAGCTCTGCTGGGGAGGAGACAAGCTGGAAGCCAGAGCCACACCCTGGAGGACAACTAACACTTTCCACCCACATCACAAAGGGCCCAGAGAGCTGAGCAGAGTAAGACCAGCACTCTGGAAAGCTGAGGCAGAGGATTCCAAGTGCTCCACCAGCCTGGGCAATACAGCAAGATGCTCCCTCAAGACAAAACATAAAAAGGACTGGGGATATGGTTGGTCCAAACGCTCTCGGTTCAATCCCATGTGTCACACAAAAAGAAAGCAAAAAATCCCAAAACAACCCCACAGGGATTAAAAAAAAAAAAAAAAAAAAAACCACCACACCTGGCCAGCTCCAAGACCCCAGGTAAGGGGTCAACAGCTTCATGTGTGACACATGGTAGCGCTGCCTGTCAAAACACAAAGGCTATGTGCAGAGCCAGGCCACACGGCACCCCATGGTGCCACTGCAGTGAAACACTCCAGATGCACAGATTATGAGCTGGTCTTACTCAAGGGCTGTGCACTCAGCTCAGATCCCCCACCAAGGAGCGCCACGCAGAGCAGACCCAAGCTGAGACCTGGCCTCAGAGGGGGCCCCAGGAGGGAGCACCTGTGGGGTGAACTCAATTTAGGGGACTTCTCAGTGGGCCGCAAGGCAGCCAGAGGGATTGGGGCCCCATGAGCTTACCTAGCAAACCTCCATAGGACGATGTCTGCTTGGGTGGCACACCGAAGAATAGCTGTCCTATCCTGTCCAGGTACTGCAAGAGGCAAGAGTGGTCAGCAGGTGGAGGTGGAGTGCCCTGCTGAAAGGGCTGTGGACCCTCCTCTCTGCTGCTTCCCTATCCCACACCTAGCCCAACAGTGAGAACCCTCACCTCATTGTACATCGGGTCTCTCCGGAGGGACGGCTGATACTGCTCACACAGAACTGTGAACACAGCCAGCTTGCCACTACAATGGGACGGGGACAGAGATGTTCTGTGAACAGTGCAGACCCACAATCACCCTCCTGCCCTCTCTCTCACACACACACCTCCGAACAGTGCCAGATGGCTGTGTTAACCCACACACAGCACACTCGGCACCTGATGGACACTCACCCATCCACAGCCAGAAGCAGGAACCAGATGAAATTGAGCAGGGGCTGAACAAAAGGGGGACCATCCTCGATCGACGGGTGCTTTTGTGTGTATGTTGTGAAGACCACCAATGCACTGTTTTTATTTTTTAAACAAAGAAACCTGGAAATCAAAATACTCCAATGGGTGCCGTACTAATGAAGGCCTGGGTGCGAGATGCTCACTTGGGCGCTGAGCCCCACGCCCCCGTGGGCATGGAGGGCCTCAGTCAACAACAGCACCTTCCCAGGCAGGCACTCCCTGGCACCTGGCAAGGCCACAGCGGGCCTCAGCGAGTTGCCAAGATCCAGGAGGCCTGTATTCTATGCCCCTCATGTGCATAGCAAGGTCGTTATCTTTACAACTCAGAGGAGAAGCACTCAGCTTGGGAGAGAAATGTGGTCTGCTGGAGGTCAACAGCATACCAGGCCACAGCACGTCCCTTAAACCTGCCTGTGTCTGCCTGCACAGGGCTAGTGCAGGCTCTGGCCAGTGCCTAGCTCAGCCCAGAGGAGGAACAGCTGCCCTACATGTGGCAAAACCAGGCCAGGCTCCCTTAGGTTAAGAGTTTCTTTTTTTGTAGTAAAGTTTATTGAACTCAGGTTCTTCACACTGATCTACAACCCCAGCCTATTCTTCATCTTATTTTTTTATGTATTTAGCTCAGGGTCTACAGGGTCTCACTACACAGATGGGATTAGTAGTGATCCTCCTGTTTTCAGCCTCCCAAGTGCTGGGATTACAGGTCTGTGCCACATGCCCAGTCTGAATCGCCAGTCCAGCACGCCCCAGGGGCATGCCGGGGATCCAACCCTCGTCCGTGTCTACCTAAGCAAGCACTTTAATCCGCTGAGCTATCTGGCCAGCCCTCCATTCTTATTTTGAGACAGAGTCCTACAAAGTTGTCCAGGATGGGCTCAGACTAAGATGTAAGATCCTATGCCCTACTATTTTTCTTTCTGCAACTATTTTTCTTTGAAGGCAGCAGATGTCAGCAAAATGGACATGCAGGGCTCTGA